AATAGGTGGAGCTTTTATGATGTCCTTTAATTGGGCACAATGCCCATTGGAGGATAAACTCCTACTCCTTCTCTCAACAGAGGCCAGAGGACAGTTGACAATCCTCTCAAGTTCAAAGTCATCCCAGAAGCCTTTGCACTTCTCCTCTGGTCACAATGTAAGCTTCATTTTGCAAAGGGGGAGAGAGTCAAAATTCCTCAGCACTTGTATTTGTCCAAATAGTGCTGGCCAGACCCCAGCCAGTGTTCCAATGAACGTGTTCATTCAGAGGACAGGGCATACTTCCAGGGAGATCACAGTTTAATAGATCAGAGGGAGATACGTACCAAAGTAAAGTCTTATGACTCGAATACACTGAGGGAAACTGGGAACTTCTTCTGTCCCAAGTGCTCTCTCCTAAAAGAGGTCCAGTTCTACCTCGACAAAACGTAATATTGCCCAAAAGCTACAATACATGCAGCTGTGCTGTTTTTTTTTTTTTTTGTCTTTAATTCTTTTTTCTTTCATTTCTTCTTCCAATGCTAGATGCTGCTTTCCTTGACATCAGACAATTCTAATCAGACAGCAAGATAACCCAAGGCTCAGAGGGGCCCCAATGTTATTGGAAATTAAAATGACAAGTAGTAACTGTAGAGTAACTGTAGCTTATGAAAAGTGGTTGTCATGCTTCATGCTTCCAGAGTAAAATCTTGGGTAGTACACTAGCTGAATGACAGCAATTAAGTTTCATAGAAGACATTAAGCCTGAATAGTTTTAACACAGAGAGAGCGCAATCTTAGACAGAAAAAGGACAAAGACAGAGTAAGGCAGAGGATCTATCTGTGGAACTCAACCTCCTTTGCAGCCGTCATCCCCCCATCCACTAGAAGACAAGAACATAAAGCGGGACCGTAAAGCAGCCTGCAGAAGCAGCGAGGACCTGTTGGAACAGGCCAAAGCTGCAACAAAGAGCATCCTGCAGCATAATACCACCTCTGTGCACTTTTGGAACAGCCTGGGAAGAGAGAGTCTCACAAAACTATTCCTTCCAAGTCGTGCACAGAACCACAATCAATGGTCTAATTTATGGAAACAAGAAAACACAAGAGCAGACAAAAACAACCAAATGTACTTTTTAACCAGCAGGAAGTTCAAGAAAAAACAGGGATGTTATCAGCAGGGGATTAGGCTTTCACCATTCTGACTATAACACAGATAAAAACATTAGTTTGTATGTGGCACTGCTGCACCATCCTTCACACCTTCAGGGATATCTGGGCAGATATCACTTCTTGATCAGGCTCTGTCACCCATGTGCTACCTTAATATATAAAGCACAGTATGTTGCTGAAGCTCTTTGCTGAGATGAGACCAGGTGGTTCATAACTTTTCATATATTTACTCTCAGCACATTTGTATGTTGTCCCATGGAACACTATAAAATACCGTGCAAGGTTTTATGGGAAAAAATACAGAAAGCTGGAAATCCCAGAAAGCTGGAGGTGTCTTTGATCTCAGCCGCACTGTGATATGCATCCATAAGATGTTTTCAACAACCCACACAGACAATAAAGCCAAACGATTTTAACTGGGAAGGAAAACAGCGATGGCTTTTCACCGTGCCTAATACTGGGCTTTCTCCGTGGACAAGTAAATCTTTATCAATTATGGCTAACTGCAGCATCTGGCTTGCCATTCACAAAACCTCCCACGCCTGGTGAGTGAGAAGAGACAAGATCCGGCAGTGCCTCACATGTGTCGTCCCGTTTCTTTGGAGACGGTAAATAAATTGACACAGGCAAGCTTTACGGCCCTGGAACCCTAATCCACTCCTGAATCCTAAATATGCGCAATGAATAGAGCACATACTTTACATTCGCAGGGTAACGGCATGCTTTCTTTCTAAATGGTACAAAAAAAACCACTTTTGCTTAAATTATGGGTTTGCATGGGTCTAAACATGATTTGCTGTGTTGTTTAACAGCCCTCAACCACACCTTGATATTAAAACTGTTGGAAGAGCATTAGATGCCATAAATAGTAACTGCAAAACAAAGCTGTCACCTTAGAAAAGATACACCTACAAAGGCTGGCAACCTCAACCAAACCCTGTTTTTCGTGGATAGAGTAAAAATAGATTGAAAACAAACTAACCTCAATAACACCTGTATGTCATCGCTATTGTTAAAGGAATTTAGATATTCTTTCATCACATGCTGAGTGCTGAGTTGGAAGTGTGGTGTTGTGAGCGGCTCTTGGAAACATACAGCGTACTGTAACCCATGGTCACTACAGTATTTTGACAGTGTATAGCAACAAATACAGGTGTTAACATCATTTGGTTTATCTGACAGTGGATGCTGTGTAAACTGTTTTTTAGGTTAGAGAAACATGCGGAGCCACCAGTCACCCCACAGAGGGACTGAAAGGCAGGACTGTGTTATGAGAAAGGGTTTTTCAAATGAATGCTTTTCACTGCGACCCCGTTCAGCTGTATGGGCTCTGAATGCTGAATTATTACTCTCCTGCTGGCATTGTCCAGCCCTGATAGCCCAGTGGATCTTATGAGGGGGGTCAAAGCATGACACTGTGTAACTTCAATACTTTTTCTGAGTGTCTCAATCATCTGTCCATTTGTACAGACATGTACAATAATAAAACAAACAGGTCAGTGTAAGTATACATCACTGCACAAAGGGTGGCCTGTCCTTCAAATACATTACACAGGTTAAAGACCAAATATTCCCACCTCTTCGCATAGCTTGAGTGCCTTTGAGCATTAAATGTCTAACAGCTTTGAGGGCACTATTCACTTTGCAGGGGCCCCTGTAGAAACTGTGGGCCCCAGCAGAACAACAGGTGCTGAAATAACTCCTCTGTGGGGGTGAATGATGGGGAAAGGGAAGGCGCGCTCACACAATGTACATTCCCCTGTATGACACCTTACCTGCATTAGTTTTCCCTCCGCGTGGCCGGCACTTCCTCCCACGAACACCCCCTCCAGGGTGATGGGCTTCCCCGTGGGCTCGTGATTCAACAGTGCCACCTTGATGACCGCTCGGAGGGCCGGCCGCTCGGACTCCAGGCCCGGCTGGCCCAGCACCACCTGCAGGGCCGCCATGAGCAGCCACGGCCCGAGCCCGGCCAGGCGCCGCTGGGGGACGGTCATGGCCTCGGCTGTAGCGGCGGTGCCCGGCCGCACATGGTGGACTTCAAAGCAGGCAAGCGCCGCGGATAGACAAAACGGAGAACGTGTGTTTATGCGTATATATACGTCCCACTTGTGCTTTCAGCCTCGACGACCTTACTGCGAAACAGATAGAATCCAAACTTTTAAAGCTGGAGCACTGCCATCATAACTCATGCGTGAATGTCCCAGAACTTCCATTCAGCAGCAGAGTTAATAATCAAACTGCACGGTATAGAAATGCACATCACTCAGTGGCCACATGGAGCAAAACGCGCTCCGCTCCACAAAAAGCCCTCTCTGCAGACACACAGTGAGCTTCAGTGAACTCTTATCCAGTGTCATTAATGTGAGAGGAGAAACACTGTTTGCTCGAATGCACCATGAAGACACGCTGTGTTGTGTTAGAGCTTCAAGTGTGCACTGGTCTTCGTGAGCTCAACAAGTGTCCTCATTTGTAACGTAAGCGTTGACCCGCTGTATCCTCTCCCGGGCGGACAGGTCCTGGCACACAGTGTATCGATCTTCATCCGTATCACAACTATGCTATTACTGTTACAGTGTGCGCCAGTCTCTGCAGCTTACAATCACAGTATGCGGTCAAACACCAGTTGACAAACAGAATGAGAAGACAGCACATCCTGTGGGCGCCACATGTTCTGGGTAAATCCACAAAAAACGCAGGAGAGACGACTTGGACTTCAAAGGCTGTTACAGGTTGCCGCCGTCATGCTGACAGATAGTGCGCTGCCAACAGGTTGGCTGATATCTTTACAACCGAGGAGTTGCGAAAAAGAATCCCCGAAGAAGTTGTTCAATTCAGTACACCGCTTTATCTAATTATTAACTAAAGCAAATGGCTTACTTCATTTAGACTGTAACTTGGTTATTACAGCAGACCCATCAACTTATTCTCTACAGTCGGTCTTCATTTGAACCCACTCGCTGTAAAAGAAACCCCACACAGGCTTCCCCCTGAATCCAGTGCCTCCGCTGCACTGTGACACATTACATACGATCCTCCTGAGAACACCGAGGGAAAATGAATCGTTTATCAGAGTCATCAACGAGTTCAGAGCAGAAGCACCACAAAAAGTACGGAATAAAAGTGGCCCAAACTCCTTGTGGTCTCCATTTAAAGTTGATCAAGTGGAGAGACGCCTTGTACAGTTAGGACACCGTCCCAAAAGTCTACCTCCCGGACTGTCTCTCGCTCCCCTGGGATCTCATTGACAGTCTCTACCTGCTTACTGTCCTGCTGCCTTCCCGTGCTGTCGGACATTGAGCTTTTCCAGACACGATGTGCATATGGCCGAGCAGATGTGTTGGTGGAAAAGTGGATTTTTTTCGATTGCCTTGTTTAGAGGAAGCAGAAGCCTCTAAACAAACGCAGTTACAGGTGCTTTAAGTCGTTATTATACCGCCTCTGTCTAAATGAAACGTAACACGTGTTTACTCTCTCTATTTTCCCGCAATCTGATGTCAAATTGCTGTCTTTAATAATAAACAGCTGTCAAATACCACGGCTGTTACAGGCTCATTTCTGACCCAAAAACACTTAAATGTTGCGTAATTAAATCGTTTAAAAACCCAATGAAACAGGAACGTCCGAGTGGCACCTGAAGGCCACGTTGGACGCTGAGGGCGGAGCAGCAGCGCTGATCAATGCCGAGTGAGTGGCTCCCTCTAGCGTACAACATCCTGCACGACCCGGAGACAGCTGCAGCGTCAACAACACATCAGACACATGAACACACCACAACTGCATCAACGGAGATATATTTTTAATGATAATATTTGTACACACACGCCTTTAAAAACATGTTGGTCACACGTTTTAAAAACACTGCAACTTTTGAGGTTATGCAGTAAAAAAATAAAAAGGTGGGGAAATGCAATCACCACAAAGTAATCAATCGCTAGTAGATTAAATTATTATATTTTCATACAATTCTTTTATATTTTCTCCCCCATTACAGCAGTTTACATCTTTGCTATGACAAACACTACCACGAATGCTATTAAAAACAAACTCTTAAATTGGGGAGAGGCTGACTTTAGGTAGGCCGACTGCTGCACATCTGTTTAAATCACTTTAAATGAAAAAAAAACATTACAAATTTTGTAAAAACATCACAAGTTGGTAAAAACATCTGAGATAATACTGTATTAAAAAAAGGAGAGGTAAAACTGTTCTTTAAAATGTTCTTCAAGTGTACCATGGTACAAGCAATTCCAATACTTAAATCAAATATGACTGTGTTCCTCAAATTAATGTATCGTCCAGAGTCACTAACAATAAAGAAAAACACTACTATGAAAATGCATATAATGTACATTTAACACGACTTAAATTAGAACTGAGCAACACACGTTTATACAACAAAGAATCATGCAAAAGGAGAATAAAGTCTGGTAACAGTCACAACTTAAGATCACATCCTGCAGTGAATCCAGACTCCCTGTCACATCAAATCAAATCAACAAGCTGAGATCTAAATGGAGGAATACAACCATCTGCCAATAAACCTGTTGCAGTGATGACCTGTGAACATACATTCAAATGGTAAAAGCCTTTCCTGCCACTCCTTTTATTCTGAATGTGCTCCCTAAATGTTCAGCAATGTCTTACCTAAACATCTGGTGTGCTGCCTTTGCAGCTGCTGCTGTAAGCCTGACTGGTATCCAAGAGAGCGTCGCTAACCTCGACACCTTTGACCTTAGTGTCCTTTGCATCATCACTGGTAACCTTGCCGGGGCACACAGGAAACCACAGCACACAATAATACAAGATAAAGCTTAATGTCTGGAGGAAAACTTCAATGTGGAGGCTTACCTCAAATATGGCATCTTCAGGCATTTGCTCAGGCACTGAAAGCACAGACGGCTCCTGCTGTCCGTATGAGACTAGATCAGCATTGCCTGATGCAGACGTTATGATGGGTCCGGTGCAAAAAGGGTTAGCTTGCATGGAGCTGGCAGGGTTGTCACTCAGCATGGTGTTGCAGGTGTTGGAAGAAGAGGGCACTAAGACTGGGCCTGGATTCTCTGGGTTCACAACTCTAACCAGACAGCTACTGGGCGGAGTTTGCATCACCTCATCTGCAATCTGGAAAATTGTGTCTAAGTTAATTTCACATTTTTTCACTTCCTGGTTGTCCTTGTTCTGTGGGTCCTGGATGTGGTCCCCACGACACAACACATTGGCAGGATATCTTGCCTAAAACAACATAAAAATATGTTTTAGACACATTTAAAAAATACTCATCTTTCTTGATCCTCACAGATGTGTAGTAAACACATTTAATGATTCCATGACAGAGTGAATACAGACCCATACACCTACCTGGTAATAGCCTTGAGGAGAGAACAACCCCGTCTGAAGCCCACTATATGTCATATGTGGCGCCACAAGGTTAGGCTGGTAGCAATGGCAAACTTCAAGAAGGACAAGAGATCTTTTTTAGATGATACAATTCAGATCATTCAGAGTTAAACCTGCAGTCTGAATTCAATATTAATAAACAATAATCATACAGATCTTTACAAGTCGATTTAGTACGCTAGAAGTGCATTTTTTTCCAACTCATCCAGATCCAGTGTGTAACATTTAAGAGGATATACTGGCAGAAATGGAATATAATGTTTATTAGTGTATAACCTGACAATAAGAGAGGAGCGAGCGGGTTGCTTTCCATGTTTTATTTGTAATTTTTGAAATATATTTTTGCGGGGCACCTGCTCCACCAGGTGAGCCATCAGGGCGCCCAGAGGCACCATGCTGTTTCTACCGTAGCCCAGAAGGGACAAACCAAACACTGGCTCTAGATAGAGCCTCTCGAATTTGTCGTGGCCGCCATAGTTTTTCCTTTGTGCAATAAGGGGAGGGTGAAGCAAGGGAGTTGCAATCTACAACTACACCACTACATGTCACTAGATCCTACACACTGGTTCTAGTTTAAGTGATGTAACAACTGTGGTTTGTAACTCTTCCCATCCATATTCCTAACCGGTTAACTAATGTGTTGCTTACCTGTGGAGTAGAAGCCAGGCTGATATTGTGCATTAGGAGGATTAAAAGTGGCACAATTTTGATTACCAGGGTTTGCATGGCCCAGTAAACCCTGCGGAACGTGCACAGCATTGGAGCTCGAGGCTACTCCAGCGTAGTGGTGGCTTAAGGACACTGGTATCCCTTTGTCTGTGGCAAAGACAGTAGGAGAAAGAGCCGCACCATGACCCCTTATCAGGTATCGCGGTGGGACTGGGGTTCCATTGTGCACCGTCATGGCCTGGGCTTTACTTGAATGGTAAGGATGAGTTGACTCCTGACGTGTGGCGCTAAGCAGGGAAGAACTGCCTGCAGACACGGGAAAAAGCAAAGCATGACAACAAGCAGTTGGACAATGAGTGTCAGCATTAAAGCACTGGATTGTGGAATTAAAAGTGCAATCAACTGCAAAGTTTGGTTTGAATGAAAAGGGATGATACATGTAGGGTTTACTGTGATTTTAAAATGGGATTTGTTTATGGAATAGTTTAATTTTAAAGTATTATTCACTACCACGCTTTAGAGAAACGTGTGTGACTCTAACTGTAGGCTTACACAGGCTTAAAGAAGTCATGCCCTTGCCTCTTTTCCCAAATTTGTCTTTGCCAATGTCACCTCCACTGAATCGCTGCCATCGACTCGGGGGCCGACAGTTCACGTTCAGACCAGCTTGTATCTTGGCTTTATTGTCGACAGTGAGTCTCCTCAGGCTTGCAACAAGTTCAGGGTGATTTCTCTTGAAGTTTGGGTTGTGGAAGTAATGGTACGCCCCGCTGTCCCCGGCGGAGTGGTAGGTGTCTGTGACAGCCGGGTCGGCCTTGCGGAAGCCGTACAGGTTGAGCTGACGGACGAAGCTGGAGAAGTTGGTGGTCTTGAAGGCGTCAGGGCTGTCCGAGGTGACGGTGCCCGGAGAGAGGATCTGGCGCTCGAACAAGTGCTGGTCAATGATGATGAACGTGCCGTCGCGGTCCCAGCTGATGGCTTTATTTGCCGGGTTGTTCACCAAACGCCACAGTTTGGCGGGGAAGTTGTTAGGGTTGATGCATTCAGGGAGGGAGCTTCCACCAACATCCATGCTTTTGTCTCTAGAAGTGGAAAAGAGAGGTAAGGTCCCTGAACACAACGCCAACTGTCAGCAGTTAGCCATAATCCACCATTACACCTTTACTAATGAGGCTAATATTGCACATTTCCATGTTAAAGTGAAGTTAACTGTTGTTGGGAGTTGGGGACATGCTCTCAATTTAAACAAACCTCCATTAAGTCAACCCAAAATTATTCTTAAAACTTGTAAATGTAACGATAGTGTTAAATGTTGAATGTTGTAAACGGCCGGCTGTACTGAAGTCATTAGCTCTGAAAATGCTACATTTAGCATTAAGTTAGCTCCTGATAGTCAGCTAGCATCGGGCGGACGTTAGCTCACCAATGAGCCGCTCTGTATTTGAAATTATTTTTTAGCACAGTAATTTTAGTCCAGGCTGCATAAAATCATTTCCGTATCGCCGTTTATGTTCTGGGTCATGCTACATCCAGAACAAACACCACGATAACCGTACCGGGATCGCCAAAGATGACCGTCTGCTGTTCCCAGAACCGTTGGAAGTTCCGAACCGTTGGAGCTGTTGGAACGTTTCAGCTGACACTGACTGCAGCGCTGCCAACGGCCGCGGTTCCATCAGCACCTCCAGCCGAGAGGACCGGTGGTGACGGAACCTTCTGACGCAGGTTCTGTTGGATCAGGACGAACCTGAGCTGGAACAAGTGTTCACCTCCGAACATACACATTCAAAAGAATCCATGACTTTCAAAATGTTAGCGGCAAAAGTATAAAAAAGTAAAAGTGCTTCTGTTTTGCAGAGGTTTATGTTGTTATATTCATTTATATTATTATATTCATTCAATTATTATTATTTCTTGGGGAGTAATGAATAATATTGTAACTAAGTTACGTGATCAGGATACAACAGAAGAACTGTAATCCACATACATTATTTTACATTGAGTAAAGATGGGGATTGTTTAGCAGCCTTACAATTTTAAAATACATGTGGTTTTCTTTTAAAATACACTGAGCAGAAGACACATTTTAAATGCTAACAATCTTTCTTTTTTCTATTTTTTCCTGTTTCCTTCATTTTCTAAGATTACATTTTTCTGTTGTCATTGTTCGGTTACACTTGCATCAGTACTTTTTGACATGTATTTTCTCTTGTTTTGATTTACATATTTGCTGTTGAGGATATCCAGGAGGAACAGAAAGTAATAAAGTTATGTCACTTTAATATTGTGATACTAGTTGCTGTATCAGATTACATCTTTACACTACAAGTAATCCTCCCAACCGTGGTAATTATTTATGTTTTTAATTATTATTATAATTACTGAGGAAGTAACATGGAAACTGGTCAAGCTAGAGCTGATTTTGGGGCATTTTCATCCATAACATCATTATTTGTCAATTATAACGTGTTTTGTATTAAAATAATGTTTAATCTGTAATGTAGGAGCAATAGCTGTCAAATAAATGCAGTTGAATAAAATGCACATACTATAATGTCATATTTCACTTTGCAATGTAATGGAGTAGGCTATAAAGTAGCATATTATAAAGTAACGACATATAATATAAGTACAGGAGTAAATGCGTTTAGCTGCTTTTGGATAAATGATCCACAATTCCCTTATCTGAAAAGTTTAAATAGCCTACGTTTATTAAATATTATTATATGAAGTACTAATAATCTTTAAGAGTTGGCAAAAAACTTTTTCTGTTAAGTCTGTTTATATTGAATGTAAATAGACTGTTCATAATTGAATTTAAATGTACTTGGAATACATTGTTGAATTGTATAAAAAACTGTTTTAATCCAACATTTTCCTTAAAACAAATAGCTAAATAAATAAAACCGTGAATGGACAAAGAACAGCGTGAATCCAGCAGCTTTATGCGTTGGCTGTATTTCTTCACTCCTCAACAGTTTCCCCATCATGTGAATCTAAACATTTAAAATGTGGTTTACTATAATGCCAGAGCCAAAACATACTTAAATACGTTTTATTTAAATAATAAACAACTTAAAGTGTACAAAATAGAGTTATTGGCAGTGACAAGTGATATAACAACACAGTGGTATAATATTAATACAAAGTGTAATACAAATATAAAATAAGAAAAACAACAATGTAAGAACACTTTCATTGTTTAATATAATAATAAGAATAATAAGAATAAGAATAAGAATAATAATATACATTCAAAACCGGAAAGAAGAAGAAATACAAAATGAAATTTGAAATAGTTTGAAAATGTTCATAATTAAATTGTAGTGGAACTGAAATAACAGATTTCAGTATGAAGTATAAGGATTTGTGAGGAATGTCTGATCCAGAAGGCAACCAGGACAGTGTGTGTATCAAAGGGCTCCATTAGGGAGACAATCATCATCAACAGTATGGTCCCAGGGAAGTCTGTAAATATACAGGATTTTAAAATGTGTCCGAGGACTAACAGGGAATCAATCAGGGGTGCAGATCCGATGTCAGGGTTG